TCGCTTCTTTCCAGTGAACTTCACCTAGTTTGATCTGACAACTTGGCTGAAGTGAGGGAAGGAAGGGTACTACAACCTTAGAATGTTGTAAGAGAAAGCATCCGTCCTTTAAGGAAAAGGATGAGTTTTTAAAATTTTTTTCAAGGAAAAATATGTGTGTTTGAAATGGCAGAAATATTTTGAGAAGGAAGCATCCCCTTATTTGACTTTCATATTTGAGTGCTCACTTACTTAAACTTGTACACTCTGTAAACTTTTAAAAATACAGTATCTGTAAATACTCAGGGCATGAATGTCAAGTTCAGGATTTCATTGTTTTTGTATTAAAGGTGGTGTCCTTGGGTTTAACCTCTTTAGACCCAGTGAGATTCTTTGGGATTTGATTAATGGGGACATTCTAAGAGCAACAGGGTGGGGTTCAGGAAGGTCAGTGGGGTTTTGTGGCTCTCTTGGCTGCAGGGGGGAAAACGTATTTCAATTCTTAGGAAGGTGCCAAGAATGAACTTGAACTACTCCCATTTGTCAGTGTAGCATTTCACTCCTCTCAGCGGAGTACTTCTAATTTATGAGTGTCTCCGTTAGGTAAATGTTGGGATGGTGAAATTGGAAAAGGGTTTGGGTGGGACTTTTGTAATTACAGTTTTTCTTTCAATTTTCATTTAAAATAATCTGGTTAGCTGTTTTATAATGATTCCCTTATTTCAGAAAAGCAAAAATAGGCCAGTCCCCTGATAGCTGAGGAAAACAAATGTAACATTCTCCCATCCAAATACTAACCAGGCCCGACCCTACTTTGTTTTCGAGATCAGATGAGATTGATTGCGTTCAGGGTGGTGTGGCCATAGACAAATGTGACATTCTTATGAACAATTCCCATATAGTACATTTTAATGTACATATGGCACCTTCTAGCATTTCTCATGAAGTAAATGCACACTTTTATTTTTTGAAAATGGTACTGTCTCTAGAATTGTTTTCTGTTAGGAAACTCAAAGTAAAAAGTAAAACTTTGATATTAAATTCTGTAGACCTGTGTTTTTTTTTTACTTTATTTCATCTTAAGTGATATTTTCTCTTTGTGTGCATCTGTTGCAGTAATTATGAAAAGTCTCTGAACTCTATAGGTTTTGTGAGATAAACTGAGTTACAAAAGAATAGTTAAAATTATGGTGTTTTTCATAAATGATGTTTCTATTGTGATCAAATCTCTTGAATTTTGAATAAGTGCATTGCTCACTAAGTTCTTCTACTTGTTTATATAAATTCTTGAGTGCATGCTGCAATTATGATTTGTAATTGTGATAAAATATGTACTCATCATCTTAATCATTTTGTGTGTTCTTTAGTCCTGAAGGCTGATTATAGTCACTATTAGCAAATCTGTTATTTCAGTGGATTTAATACTGTGCATAAAAACTAACCTGAGCTTTCTGATGACTGGTCAGATTCGATTGTTTAGTTCATGTTCTCGGTGTTTGTTTGTTTGTTTTTAATGATTTAATTTACTTGAATTTCAGTTACAGAGAGAGAAGGAGAGACAGAGAATCCCTGTCTATTTTTTATTACCTAAATGTCCCCAACAACCAGAGGTTGACTGGTCCAAAGAAAGGAGCCAAGAACTTCCTTTGGGTCTTTCATGTGGGTGCAGGTGTATGAGGCCTTGGGCCATCCTCTGCTGCTTTCCCAGGTCATTAGCAGGGAACTGGGAAAAATGATGCCATTGTGTAATTCATGAGCCTGCGATGAATTCAACTAGAGAAAAGAGATTATTTGGAATGAACCAAACTGAAATAAAAAACATCAAAACACATGGGATACAGCCAGAAAAGCAAACAAACAATCAAAAAACAGTATAGACTATTGGAGTTAAACTTTCCATGTTGGTTTCCTTATATAAAAGAGAATATATAGTATTTGTTCTTTTGTGATTGGCTCATTTCACTGAGCATAATGGTCTCTACTTGGGACCACCTGGTTGTAAATAGAACAAGTTAATTCTTCTTAATAGCTGAATAATATTCCATGGAGTAGATGTACCACACTTTCTTTAACCACTCTTCCTTGGATGCACATCTGGATTGTTTCCATGTCTGCTATTGTAGATTGTGCTGCTGCAAATATAGGATTACAGATCCCCTTCTCACATATAGATTTCACTTCTATTGGATATATTCCTAGGAGCGGGATAGCTGGATCATATGGCAGGTTTATTTGCAATTTTCCAAGCTCTCTCCATACTGATTTCTACAGTGGTTGTACTAGCCTACACTCCCACCAGCAGTGAAGAAGGGTGCTTTTCTCCCCACATCCACGCCAGCAGGTATTATTAGTTGAATTTTAAATGTAGGCCAGTCTCACTAGAGTTAGGTGGTACCTCAATGTGGTTTTCATTTGTATCTCTCTTATGGCAAGGGAGCCTGAGCATCTTTTCATATGTCTGTTAGCCATTTGAATCTGTTCTTTTGAGAAATGTCTGTTCATTTCTTTTGCCCATTCTGTTACAGGGTTGTTTTCTGTTTGTTTGTTTGCTTTTTGTTGTTATTGTTTTTGTTGTTTTGCTGTTCCTGGGTTTCTGAAGCTCTTTGTAAATCCTGGATATTAGTCCCCTATCACTTGTGTAGTATGCAAAATTTTTCTCTCATTCTGTTGGTTGTTTTTTCAATTTGTTAATTGTTTCTTTTGCTGTAAGAAGCTTTTTAGTTTGATGTAGTCCCATTTGTTCATTTTGGATATGATTGCCTTTGCTTTGAAGTCTTTTCTAAGAAGTCTTTCCCTGTTCCTATATCTTGGAGTGTGCTTTATATGTATTTATACGTATTTAAACGTAATAATTATTACATTTAAGTTAATTTTAAAGGGTGAGTCCAAGTGGACACTCCATGAAGTTAATTTATTCACTCAGTAAAGAGAATCTTTTCAGCATACGTATAAATAATTCATAATTAGCTATTGCATTCCTTCTTATTCCTCAGTGCCTTTTGCTGTGTTTTCTGTTTGCCCTTCCCTCATGCGTATGGACAGTTAAAGGTTCAATAATAATTGCTGTAGTCTTACTACTGCAGTTGCTAATATTATCAGTTTATTTTTATCATGATTTTTAGGGAGGAAATTTTAGAACTATCAAGCAAATGAATTTGGTATTACTTAGAAACTAGATAAAAGGAAAAATGGCTAAAGCTGTGTATTTTGGATGGGTCCCAAGATTTTTCTGTTAATAACTAAATGCACGAATTTAATATGAGTCCCATATTTAATTCGGTCTTGTTACCAACTTTCTTTTTGTGTGACTTTGGTACACCTTATCAGGTCTGAAGATGCAGAACACACAGGATCAGATATAAGGACCATAAGTTGATATTAAAACATTGAACATGAGCTGTTTATGAGATACATTTGTGGGGAAATTGAGTGGGCATGGATGTTTGGAGATGGTGTTAACATAGATGCAGGATTAAAATAAGGTTGATTAATAATTTAAGTTTAAAATATAGAAGTCTGTTTTCCCAGATGCTACTAAGCCTTTTTTCTGTTGCCTTTAAAGAAGACCACAACTTCCTAAAATGATAACTACAAGGCCAAGAATTTCAAATTGAATTACCTAGTGCAAAGATTGTAGACATTAGCAAGGCGGGCACTTCATCCCAGGCGTGAGTTCCTATTTGTGGTGCCATTACCATGTTTAGGTGTTTTTTGTTGTTTTTTTTGGAGGGGCTTGGGTTCTGTCCCCATTTAACAATGTGGAATCCAAAGGAGTGTCCTGGGTAGTTTTCATTCAGAAGAGCTGGAAAGTGAAACTCTGCCAGGGACATCACTGCAGTTTTTTTTAAGCAGATGTTACAAGTGAGGGTCAAGAGACCAGTACAAGAAACTTGACACTGGGTTGCTCTTAAGACGCAGGGAAGGAATGGTTCGTTTCATGAAGTGATGGTCGTAGACAGGAAAACGACAAGAAAAGGCTTGGTGAAAAGTGGTTACAGGAGGAGCTCACTGTTGACCCAATAAGAGAATTCACTGTGCTAAAGAGCAACTCAGTGAGGTCTACAATCACATGGGACAAGGGAAAGCAGAAGAGTACACACCACCAGTCAGAAGGACTGGTTCTGAAGGGAGGAAAGACACAAAGCTTACACTTACTAAAAGCAAGCATTTTGTTGCATTGCTTTTTGAATGCAAAACATCTTTGCTGTTTTCTAAAATGGAATGTTTTCTAAAATGTATTTGGTTGTATCAGAAATTATGAATCTTTTTTCACTTAGTTTAAGTACCAGTAGTTCTGTTGAACCAATTTTATAGAATTAGTTTGAAACTCCTTGAGTTTCTGTAAATGGAATCTATTTTGCAAAACAAGTGAGCATGGGGTAGGCATTTACCCTAGTGATTAAGACAACTGTGTCATGTTGGAATACTTGGGCTTCATACTTGTCTCCACTTCTTATCCCAGCTTCCTGCCCATACAGATCCTACTGCAGCAACCCAACTAGATGGGTTTCGTCCCATCATCTGAGAGACCTGAAATGAGTTATTTGCTGCTCCTTGTGGCCCCACCCAGTTCTAGTCATTGTGAGCCTTGAGGAAGACCAACTGGGTGGGACTGGGAAAACGGTTTCTGTATCTGTCACTCTGCCTCTCAAGTAAATGAATAAATAAATAAATAAATAAATAAATCCAAAGAAAGCTGTCGATCAACTGCATAAATAAAGACTCCATACAGTGAGTAGTAGTGATAGAACAACTTGATGAGTGTAATATATTTCTAACAAATCCTTAAATTTAGGAGGTCTAACCTAGGTTCAGATAGCAAAAGGAATTTCCAGCAAAACTCCTGCTGACGAATATGGTGTACTCCGAGTACTCTGTTAGGAATGCTCTCTCTGCCCGCTCTACAGGCGAATGCTACTGTGGGTGCGCACTGCTGCCTGTGTTGGAATGTGTAAGGAGTGATGGCACAGGACCTGCTGTTTTACACAACTTTCTTACACAGAAACTTCTTTTGTTTCTAGGTGAGCGTCCGTATCAGTGCCCTTACTGTGAAAAAGGATTCAGTAAAAATGATGGACTGAAGATGCATATTCGTACCCACACCAGGGTAAGATTATCTTGATCATGAAAACATTACTATGCTTAAAAGAAATCGTTTTGTTTTACATGAGACAATGAAAGTGATGTGCCTAAACTTAAATATGTTTATATTTGAGGATAACTTTAAAAAGACAATGGTAAGTAAAGCCAAACACCCAAAGGGTTCCCATTCTTTCAGTTGTGAACCAATTGTAAGCCAATTTGAGTTTTTTAAAATTGTGAATCATTTTGAATTGCGAACCAACTTTTGACATCTCGTTACCAGTGACAAACCATCCAACAAGTGGATTTTACTATTTCAATGATAGAAAATGTAAGGCTATTATCTTTTTGATTATTTATCAGTAACAGGACTATTTCTTAAATATAGTCAAGCCTGTCAGCATTTGGCCATTAAACAATGCTTTTGAGCCAGTCTGTTTGCAAAGTAGATGTGTAAACATCTTAGTTCTCGGGTAGAACATGGCCAGTACTCTCCAGGCATGCCTAGTGCTGTTTCATCTTTTCTCTGAGGATGGCCCGTGTCCTCTGCGGCCAGCGCCCCTCACCGCACCATTGTTGCCATGTGCTAGGTGACCTTTCCACAGGGAAGCTTCTCGAAGGCTTTTAAGATTGATGAGCAATGTACCCTCTGCCCACCTACATCTTAACTCTGCAGTTTAGGGAACAACTGACATTCTATGTACACTTTGCACAGGAGAAACGTATGTGCTTTTCATTTCAGGTTAGCATTTTTAAAGATCTTATAGTCTGTCTTTATTGTTTTTTCCAAATTTAAGAGACATGCCTAATTCCTTTCAAAGAGATTCTGAATTTGTCCTCTCTTGGCTTTTATTTTATTTTTTTTTTAACTTGGTTGTGAAATAAAAGCTTGAAAGGAAACATAATCTTCCCAGTGTAGTAGTATTCTAGCACTCCACTATGGTTCTGTAGTGAATAAAAGCTACCATTCAGGTCCTGTTGAGAAAATGATGTGCTGTTCTTGGTGAGGGAGAGAGGAAGCCTTTTCACTGGCAAACCAGCTGAGCAGAGGTTTCTGTTTCTTACATCATATTCAGGCTCTACAAATGATAGGAACTGGAATCTTTGCTAATTCAAACATACCTAATCAGTTATAAAATAGACTATTTGTAGCACATGGTTTAAAGGTCTAAAAGTATTTCACAAATAGTGTTATTCAAGAGGTGTTTATTAGATTCGTTCAGGAAGTGACCATTTTATGTGAACAGTTGCCACAAAGTTGTCCATAAGGTTGATTAGAAGGTTCCATCAAATCTTCACTGATTCTTCGCTTCGCTATGCTCTGTATTTTGAGTGATTTTCATTTGTAACATTTTCATTGACTTTTAAAACTGGATTCCCATGTATCTACTGAAACTGCCTATTTGTTCAAGTCTACTGTTTTCACTAGATTTTTCATGATACTTCTCTTAATCTCTTCTTTTGACTTTTCTACCCTCAAAACCATCTTTGGTTGTGACTTTATTGACTCTTTTGTCTCTTGATAATGGCTGTATAGGGACTTTGTTTTTAATTTACCACATAATTTTTATAGGATGCCTATTATTAAATATAAAGAAGCATATAGAATGAGGTCAATACTATTTATGCCCAGAAATAAGTTTACCTCTTCTGCAGTGAGGCTGTTCATGTGAGAGTCGTCAGTCTGGTCAGTGGTGCAAGTAACACCTGAGCTGTGGGCCTGCAGCTTTCCCAGCATTCCTGCTGACACCCCACTGGTGGGCTACACCTACTGCTCGCTTGATGAGCAACCTGGAGTTGCAATGTCTTTCCCACATCTGACTGTATAAAATTTAATCTTAAATTAAATTTATACTTTGAGATTAAATTTTATAATTTTGATCGTTCAGCTACCATAGTCACTTGAGTGGTACATCAACACAGGTGTCTATGCCTTCAATATGGCACAGTTCAGATATTTAATATTTCCAGCACCACAGAGAGATCCTTAGGACAGCACAGGTCAAGAGGACATGGGTTTCCTGGCCCTCCCTGCTTAAGAACTGAGCACCAGTGACAGGTTTGGGGCATAAGACATGTTTCTGGTCATCAGCAACTCAGATCTCTATTGGGGATCCTGGGGAATCTTTGCAAATTCTGCCCCTTTCTTAGGGTCATTGCAGGCAGTTCTGTCCCATCCTAAACTGAGGAACTTTGACCAACATCAGGTTGCCAAGAGTTTCCTGATTCACCCGTTAGAGTTGGTGGCTTGGTCTTCCTGGTTTAGCAATAGAAGGTTAAGAAGGCTTGTATTGTGAGCAAAGAAGGCTCTTGCCCGGTGGTTGTTCTCTTCCCAGAAGTGACTGACTGCTGCCTGTACTCATTGAGGAAGAGGACAGATGGGCTGCTCCTCCCTCGGATCATGCCCGTGTCAGCTTAAGAGAACTCGGGGGTATTCTGCTCTATCCCTATTCATTAGAGCTATTTTTTATCTCAATTGTCTAGGGTTTGGGAATGTTACTTCTTTTTTTTTTTAAGATTTATGTATTTTTACTGGAAAGTCAGATATACAAAGAGGAAGATCTTCCAATCTTCTATCCACTGATTCACTCCCCAAGTTGCCTACATGGCCAGAGCAAAACCAATCTGAAGCCAGGAACCAGGAACTTCTTCCAGGTCTCCCATGTGGGTGCAGGGTCCCAAAGCTTTGGGCTGTTCTCGACTGCTTTCCCAGACCATAAGCAGGGATCTGGAAGGGAAAGGAGGTGGCTGGGATCAGAACCAGTGGTCATATGGGATTCCGGTGTATGCAAGACAAGGACTTTGGCCACTAGGCTACTGCGCCAGACCCAGGAGTGTTACTTCTTAGTTTCAACGTCTCTAGTTTAATACTGTGTCCTGTTGATTCCTTCAGTTAATCAAGGACTCTGTCTGGGGATTCAGATTGATCCAAGCTATTTTGGTATGAGTTTTACAGAGGTTTGATTTCCCAGAATGCAAAGCCTTATAATCCTGTCAGCCTCAGGCACTCAGCTGGGGGACTCCTAGGTCATTGGAATCTCGAGCCATTCCTCATGTCCAAAGACATTTTTGTTTTTTGAAATCGAGAGAGAGAGAGAGAAGAGACAGAGAGCTAGTTCGTTTGCCAGATGATTATAGTAGCTGGGAAGGAGTCAATCCAAAAGCAGGAGTAAGGGGCTTCTTTCTGGTCTCCCACATGGATCCAGGGGCCTAAAATCTTAGGCCTTCTTCTGCTGCTTTCCCCAAGCCATTAGCAGAAAGCTGGGTCAGAAGTAAAACAGCCAGGATAGGAACCATTACCCATGTGGCATGCCAGCACTGCAGGTGACAGCTTACACCACCACACTGCAAATTGGCCTCCGTTTCTCATTCTATAGATGTCTACTTCACCCTTCCTCTTCCCAGACTTTTTCCCTTGCTATGGAGGGAGTGTGTCCTCTTTAGATAAGATTTTAGTTGCATTTTGGTCCCTGAAACCAATGCTTTTTTAAACAGCTTCAAGTGGACAGGCAAGATCTCTGAAAGTTACTAGACTTGGGGATATTCTAGGCATGTTTTCTCTAGATTCTTCTCAGAGTTCTCCGTAGCGATGGAGCCAATGGATGTGTATGTAGATGCAGGAGATTTATTAGGGGAACTGGTTCAGCTGATTACAAAGGCTGAGAAATCCCACAGTAGATCTGCCAGCTGGAGATCTCACAGTGCCGATGGCATGGCTCAGTCAGAAACCAAGGACCTGGGGCACTGGGATGTAAGAGCTGGGGACCAAAGGTCAAGTGTCTAATGTGCAGTGCAAGGACAGGGGACAAGGACTGTGTCTGGCTCTAAGACAGAGAGCAATTTTGCCTTTTCTCTCCTTTTGTGCTTCCTGGGCCTAGCGCATCTATGCTTCATGAAATATGGATTCTTATTTCTTTTCATTTGTAAAGGAGAAATTCAGACCACTTGAAACTTTTTTTTTAAGGAATGATAATGCCATTTCACTCTTTTCTTTTTCTGTTTGTAAAAGAAATCATTTTGATGATTGCCAACGCACTTGGCACGATGCCCTCCATTCTACTCCTCTCTGTAACCACACTCAGGAGCTAGTCAGCTCTAAAATCACCAGCAAAGAAAATTGTAAGTTCCTTCATTAGCAACACTTTGTTGATGTGCCAAATGATGTTCCTAAAATAAAATCTTATGGCTGAGGCATTCTAGAATACGATGATTGGTTCTCTTGATTTTCATGGGCTTTGAGAATAAGAGGTGAAAATTTAAAAATAAATTGAATTTCATCCTCTTGGCAAGTTTATGGGATAGGTTAATTATCCCATAGGAGAACAGAAAAAAACCTCTTGTGGAATTAATTTCTGTTCCACTATATTTGAGTTACAAGAGTAGGATTACACTGATGTGAGGAATTTAACTGGCCTCAGGCATCAAATCTGATTTTTCTGCAGATTTTTGTAATGGCACTTACATTCTTATTCATTATGTCTCTTGCTAACACTGGTGTTTTGGAGTGAGGAAGCTACTATTACTACCCACCTAAAATGAGCATGAGTTGGATTAATCTATAAAAAGCAGTCTCAAAGCAGTGCAATCAATTTTTTCCTATTTCCATGTGAATCATGACATTTTATGACAATACAGAACATCTGATTTGCTTTCCTGTGTTTATGAGCTGGTCGTCATCACTCGCCTGACCCAGAGAGTACAGCAGAAATGGTAGTCCGTAAAGACTGATACTAGCTTATGACAAGTCTTGCAGCATTTGCTCACCGATCTTGGGACCAGGCAACATGTGAAGACCCCAAGGAGCAGGAGTAGGCTGGAGGGCACTGCACGCAAGCAGCCAACGTGAAGTGCCAGACATTTGAGGAAGGCACTGTGCATTTCTATTTCTGGCCCATGTGTGACTTCAGATCACTTTTGCTGAAGCCACTTTCCTGCAACTACAAGACTCCAAGCAAGGACTTTTGCAAGTCTCAGTTTTTCCACAGAACTTTGCAAGATTAGTTATTTCAGGTGTTCAAATAAATA